ATATATATATATTTATATATACAATAATTGTATAATGTCTCATTTGTTGACTTATTATTAATTATTATTAAGACTGACTTATTAAGTGACTTATTAATTGAGAATAATTTTATGTAAAGAATCTTCTTCTGATATGTAGCAAATCGTTTCAGGGGCTCGGCGATCGCGAAGATCGTCGGGGTGAATGTTATGAAGTACAACAACATATTTGAAACTCGAGTGACAATGTATGTATATGAGGAAATTATCAACAACGAAAAATTAACCAATATAATCAATACCATCCACGAGAATGTTAAATATCTACCTGGTCACAAAATTCCGGAAAATGTGGCAAGTATCTCTATCAAAATATATAATATTATTCCTTTTATTCGCAATCGATATTTGGTATCAATTGCTCAGTAATTTTTTAAATAATATGTTTGAAGCTTAATTGATAATCGTCAAAATTTTATTAAGCGTAAATTATTAAGAAATTTTTATTAGATAAAACTTTATAGCATTATAATTTTTTTCAAATCGCATAGTGTGATGCTGAATTAAAACTACTCAAAGTTCTGAAACAAATAGAAACATATAATGACATAATGTTTTTACAATTAGTAATTAGTAGTAGTGCGAACGTAGACTTTTCCGGATGGCATGGATACACGATCGACTCCTCCTGGAAAGAGTTTCGGGAGATCCTCCTCCTTTACTGTCGGCAAGATCATTACTTTCTCACCAGGCTGCAATATCGTTCGCATAATTAAATTGGATAAAAACTTTCGCCGTAAATTAATACCACTTATCATCATAATTGAATTAGATACTATCACAAATAACATGCAATGAAAGGTGTAAGATTGAGACTTACGACCCAATTGGCGGGAGTTGCTATCTCCGGCCTTCTGTCGACGAGCTGCAGCGAATCGATTACACGTAATATTTCGCTAAAACGATAATAATATTGATTAATAGAGTCAATTTAAATTAACACATATGTAGAGTGAATTTAAATTAACTCAGTATATGAATGCAAAATTTTGAAATATTCTCAAACGCGAAATAGTGCAGTATTCGGTTAACTCACTCGACGTTACGCCCAGTAGAAGTCGGATATTGCATAGAAAGTCGTAGACGATGATCCGGACTAATAATATACAGAGACCGAACGGTCTGAGCGGTTTCCGGATCATCCTTGCTCTGTTCATCGATCATGTCCAGCTGCACAGCGAGTTTGCGATCAGGATCAGCGATTATGGGATATGGAAAAGCACCAGGAATGTCTTTGCAGTACGATTTAATGTCCTGCAATAGAAATGAGGAATTACATTAGTTGAAAAATTAATTAAAAATTAATTAAAAATTAATTAAAAAACAAAACTAACCAGAATTAATTTGAAAATGGGAAAAAAATAGAAAAACACAAAGATTCTGAACAAACATTAGGAATAACATTAAATATAGAATTTAAAGATTCTTACATTGACCCAGTCCACATGATCCTTAAGTTTGTCAACAGAATGAGCAAGCAACTTGGTGTTGCGTTTTACGAAATACGGTTGATGCACCGCAATACGACCCAGTTCAGTGGTGCACACTGGGGTAAAGTCCGCAGGATGGGAGAATAGTACCACCCATCTGCGAAGAATAAATAATCATTAATAAAAAATCAGACATATTGACAAATTTATGTGATAAAAGTATCAAATTAAATACATAATTATTATACATGCATACGCACACGCATACTAAATATAAAAATACTAAATATAAAATTCAAAATAAGATATATTTTATAA